TGGGTGGGTGGAGAGGCTACTGAGGAATCCTGGGTGGGGGTGGAGAGGCTACCGAGGAATCCTGGGTGGGTGGAGAGGCTACTGGGGAATCCTGGGTGGGTGGAGAGGCTACTGAGGAAACTGGGTGGGTGGAGAGGCTACTGAGGAATCCTGGGTGGGTGGAGAGGCTATGAGGACTCCTGGGTGGGTGGAGAGGCTACTGAGGACTCTGGGTGGGGGGAGAGGCTACTGACGACTCCTGGGTGGGTGGAGAGGCTACTGAGGACTCCTGGGTGGGTGGATGAGGCTACTGACGACTCCTGGGTGGGGTGGAGAGGCTACTGACGACTCCTGGGTGGGTGGAGAGGCTACTGAGGACTCCTAGGTGGGTGGAGAGGCTACTGACGACTCCTGGGTGGGGGGAGAGGCTGCTGACAACTCCTGGGTGGGTGGAGAGGCTACTGACGACTCCTGGGTGGGTGGAGAGGCTACTGAGGACTCGTGGGTGGAGAGGCACTGACGACTCCTGGGTGGGTGGAGAGGCTACTGACGACTCCTGGGTGGGTGGAGAGGCTACTGACGACTCCTGGGTGGGTGGAGAGGCTACTGACGACTCCTGGGTGGGTGGAGAGGCTACTGACGACTCCTGGGTGGGTGGAGAGGCTACTGACGACTCCTGGGTGGGTGGAGAGGCTACTGACGACTCCTGGGCGGGTGGAGAGGCTACTGAGGACTCCTGGGTGGGTGGAGAGGCTACTGAGGAATCCTGGGGTGGGTGGAGAGGCTACCGAGGAATCCTTGGTGGTGTGGAGAGGCTACTGAGGAATCCTGGATGGGTGGAGAGGCTACGAGGAATCCTGGGTGGGTGGAGAGGCTACCGAGGAATCCTGGGGGTGGTGGAGAGGCTACTGAGGAATCCTGGGGTGGGTGGAGAGGCTACTGAGGACTCCTGGGTGGGTGGAGAGGCTACTGAGGAATCCTGGATGGGTGGAGAGGCTACCGAGGAATCCTGGGTGGGTGGAGAGGCTACCGAGGAATCCTGGGTGGGTGGAGAGGCTACTGAGGAATCCTGGGTGGGTGGAGAGGCTACTGAGGAATCCTGGGTGGGTGGAGAGGCTACTGAGGAATCCTGGGTGGGTGGAGAGGCTACTGAGGACTCCTGGGTGGGTGGAGAGGCTACTGACGACTCCTGGGTGGGTGGAGAGGCTACTGAGGACTCCTGGGTGGGTGGAGAGGCTACTGACGACTCCTGGGTGGGTGGAGAGGCTACTGACGACTCCTGGGAGGGTGGAGAGGCTACTGAGGACTCCTGGGTGGGTGGAGAGGCTACTGACGACTCCTGGGTGGGTGGAGAGGCTGCTGACGACTCCTGGGTGGGTGGAGAGGTACTGACGACTCCTGGGTGGGTGGAGAGGCTGCTGACGACTCCTGGGGGGTGGAGAGGCTACTGACGACTCCTGGGTGGGTGGAGAGGCTACTGACGACTCCTGGGTGGGTGGAGAGGCTACTGACGACTCTGGGTGGGTGGAGAGGCTACTGACGACTCCTGGGTGGGTGGAGAGGCTACTGACGACTCGTGGGTGGAGAGGCTACTGACGACTCCTGGGTGGGTGGAGAGGCTACTGACGACTCCTGGGTGGGTGGAGAGGCTACTGAGGACTCCTGGGTGGGTGGAGAGGCTACTGACGACTCCTGGGTGGGTGGAGAGGCTACTGACGACTCCTGGGCGGGTGGAGAGGCTACTGAGGACTCCTGGGTGGGTGGAGAGGCTACTGACGACTCCTGGGCGGGTGGAGAGGCTACGGGGGACTCTTGACTGTGAGAGGAGGTTGATGTAGTCGCCTGTGGGCGAGGAAAGGTTCAGTGGGCCAACTGGTGTTACGCTTCACTAGACCGGTTAATGAAAGAGGAAGGATAGCCAAAATACTCAGCAGGCGTGTACACACCACAAGCATACACTAGCACACGTACACCCATATACCTCTATCATGAATCCAGAACATGGCCGTCACTTACAGCACATGTCACCAGAAGAAACAGGATGAATAAACAGGCCAGGACGGTTTCATTCCGTCCATCCTCGTATAGAGGTCAAGAAACATCGTGATAAATTATTATAACGCCGGCAACCTTTTGCGCCAACTTTAGCGATGCTCTAACCAACAAACCAAACACAAAAAAAACACATACACCAAACACACACCACATCCACACACTCAACTACACACACAGGAGACGGCCAACTAAACTATACTGTTTCCTCATCAGTTTATCTCGACTTAAAATTCATATTTTCCGCCTCTAATTCTCTTTCAAATCTCTTTATGGTGGGTGGCTGATGGGAACACCTAGGTGGGTAGGAGGCTGATGAGCGGGATTCACTGTGATTGTACGTATTTGGAGTTTGAAATTACGACATTTTATACCAAATATACTCAAATTAATGAAAACTGATTGGTCAGATTTTGCCCAAATCCCCCCGGCAGTTTTCAAAATACGATGCCTATCGGAAATATAACACTTGATCGTTATTCCTGAGTGGAATTCAGGGTGATTGCATGTATTTGGAGTTTTAAATTACGACTTCTTATACCGAAAATACGCAAATTAGTGAAAACTGTGATTGGTCAGATTCTGCCCGCTTATTTGCTTTATTCCGAACATTTATTTCCTACCCAATTTTTTGTATTATCTGCAAATTTACAAATATTGCTTTTCAATCTTGTCTCTAAAATCGTCTATATGATAAACAAGAGAGGTTCCGAGGCAGAGCCTTGAGGCACTGCACTGGTAACAGTTTCCCACACTGATTTATCTCCAGTCATACTAACTCTGCTTCCTTGGCGATAGTCTTGCCCTTATAGTTTAAAATAGCACGCCAATACCGTGAGCCTCTGTCTTCCTAATCAGTCTTTCGTGTGGCACTGTATCAAAAGCTTTATTAAAGTCATGGTACACAACTTCACAACCTTTTCCGCAATCAAAGGATTGAAATCCTAAACGCAACTGCCTCAAACATGCTGAAGTTCATCAAACATGAATGGCCTTTAGTAAAACCAGGATGTAAATAATTTATAAATCTATATTTTTCAAAAACTTTACATTTAGGAAAGACCTGGGTAAATACTGGTTTGAAAACTAGATTATTTATTTATGAAACAAATTACGATTTAACAACAGACGTGGGATTGATGGATTGTTTCAAGTGTAGGCTATACATATACGAAAGAATTAGGATGGATATAAATATGAGCTGCCTTGTATGGGACAATAGTCCTGTATTTACCCTTATTCTAATTACGTTCTAATGTTCCCGAACCTTTTTTTTCAAGGCCACGCCTGAAACAGTGTATCCGAGGTGACGGCCGGCATCATGCAGCTTGGCCCTGCAGGAATGTGTTACTTTAAGAATTAATCAGCTGGTAATAAACAATATTAGCCAAATGCAACTATGAAATTATTTATATTAAGCTTATTATTTATGACTACGTTTGCGTGGTTGATCAATAATTCAATTATTGTTTCAATTATGGATGACTCGTGCTGCTGAAAATATACTGAGCAAAATATATTCTTTAAAACTGTCTCTTGAGCAAGTAATTCTGCTGCTAGTACTCTGTGAGCTTATGAGGCACTGCTGCTCGGCTATGTCTATAACTGTGAGCATGTAGATCTGATAGGCAGGATGTTTAAGCCTCCAACCATGCTTTTATCCACAACCCTGGTGCTTCTAACCTAGTCCTTCTACGGGTCACAAACATGTTAAGCCTCACCTCTCCCTCACCTACAAACAGCTTATTTTAGATCACACCGCATCAGACATGGGTGCCTATATACATGGGAAATAAGCTTACAGGTTACACAAGAGAGAGGAAATAACATGGAAGAAAAATGCCCGACACCACTGGAATATAATCTAACACAGTACAGACTTACACACCAAATAAGATTTAAATTGAGATTTAACAGCGCAGAAGAAGTTGTTCAACACGTTGGGCATAATCTTGCTGAAGCCAACGAGTCATAAATACTCATCCACCGCCAAAGTATGACAGAAATGAGTAACACTCAGTGGGCCAGACAGAGGCTTAGGGCCCCTGTAGGACAATCCCTATAGAAAAAAAAACATATTTAACCCATAGCTTCTCACAAATCCACATCCCGGCCCTTCCATCCCGGACCCCTCTCACAACCACCTTTTATTTCCTTTTATAGTTTATCTTTAACTTTCGCATTTTCTGTTTTTTGTGAGAAGTGTTTTCGGTTGAGGAATGTGGGAGCTTCTAGCTGTGAGGCTTTAAATACTGTATCAACACCAAAATGTTTCCGTTTAAGACTCCAAGTGTAGTATGAACAGAAACATTTTTCACACTAAGACAAAATGCAAGAACATTCACAAGCCCATTCATCCATTCATTTATATATATATCCATATATATATATATATATATATATATATATATATATATATTATATATATATATATATATATATATATATATATATATATATATATATATATATATATATATATATATATATATATATATATATATATATATATATATATATGTGTGTGTGTGTGTGTGTGTATTCACCTAGTTGTGTTTGCGGGGGTTGAGCTTTGCTCTTTCGGCCCGCCTCTCAACTGTCAATCAACTGTTTACTAACTACTTTTTTTTTCCTCCACCCCCAGGAAGCAGCCCGTAACAGGTACTCACTCCTAACTATCACGTACTAACTTTCAGGTACCTATTTACTGCTAGGTAACAGGGGCATTTAGGGTGAAAGAAACTTTGCCCATTTGTTTCTGCCTCGAGCGGGAATCGAACCCGCGCCACAGAATTACGAGTCCTGCGCGCTATCCACCAGGCTACGAGGCCCCTGTGTGTGTGTGTGTGTGTGTGTGTGTATGTGTGGTGTGTGTGTGTGTGTGTGTGTGTGTGTGTGTGTGTGTGTGTGTGTGTGTGTGTGTGTGTGTGTGTGTGTGTTAATTTTCGTGATTTACACAAATACACACACACACACCGCTTAATATCAATGTTTGCTGATGATGCAAAAATTATGAGAAGAATCAAGACGGATGAAGATAGACAGAGACTACAGGATGACCTAGACAAACTGAAGGAATGGTCTAGAAAATGGCTGCTAAAGTTCAACTCAGGAAAGTGTAAGGTAATGAAATTAGGCGATGGGAGCAGGAGGCTGAACACAAGGTACCATCTGGGAGGTGAAATCCTGCAAGAGTCAAATAGAGAGAAAGATCTGGGGGTTGATATACCGAACCTGTCCCCAGAGGCCCACATCAAAAGAATATCATCAGCGGCATATGCTAGACTGGCCAACATAAGAACTGCCTTTAGAAACTTGTGTAAGGAATCGTTCAGGACCCTGTATACCACTTATGTAAGACCAATCCTGGAGTATGCAGCTCCAGCCTGGAGTCCATACCTAGTTAAACACAAGACAAAGTTAGAGAAGATTCAGCGGTATGCCACCAGACTCGTCCCGGAACTGAGAGGAATGAGCTACGAGGAAAGGCTAAAGGAGCTGAACCTCACATCCCTGGAAAACAGAAGAGTAAGGGAAGACATGATAACCACCTACAAAATTCTTAGGGGAATTGACAGGGTGGACAAAGACAAACTCTTCAGCGCGGGTGGGACACGAACAAGGGAGACACAGGTGGAAACTTAGTACCCAGATGTGCCACAGAGACGTTAGAAAAAAAAATTTCAGAGCAGTTAATAAATGGAATGCACTAGGAAGTGATGTGGTGGAGGCTGACTCCATACACAGTTTCAAATGTAGATATGATAGAGCCCAGTAGGCTCAGGAATCTGTACACCAGTTGATTGACAGTTGAGAGGCGGGACCAAAGAGCCAAAGCTCAATCCCCGCAAGCACAATTAGGTGAGTACACACACACACACAATATATATATATATATATATATATATATATATATATATATATATATATATATATATATATATATATATATATATATATATATATATTATAGGGGTACCACCTCTTGTGCAAGTGAAGGGACCCATAGCCTCGGAGAAGAAAATAAAGAGTACTCAGACAAGACCTTGTGGATCCTCACGGAACACGTGAGAGTTCACGATGTTATATATATATATATATATATATATATATATATATATATATATATATATATATATATATATATATATATATATATATATATATATATATATATATATTATTTTTTTCTGTCTCCCCCCTCTCTCTCTCTCTCTCTCTTTTCTCTCTCTCTCTCTCTCTCTCTCTCTCTCTCTCTCTCTCTCTCTCTCTCTCTCTCCAAACAAAATAATCACATGTACCCACACACACCGTCTCGCTAATACAAACATAAACATAAACCCACAAAAAATCCCCAAACTGCTGTGTAAGCATCGGTACACATCCCCGCTGTATTAGCATTCTAAATTTATTATATGTTAGCGAATAAAAGCTATGAAAAATAGCATGATGTATGACTTGCATACAAATAGAACCTCTTTATACCCAGAGAAATATTAACCAAATTTTCGTGTAATTTCAATGTTTTTTTTCCGAGAAGTAAACAAATTAATAACTACGTGATTGATTGGTGACACGTACGTACATACGTGTGAGTGTACTCACCTGGTTGTGCTTGCGGGGGTTGAGCTCTGGCTCTTTGGTCCCGCCTCTTAACCGTCAATCAACTGGTGTACAGATTCCTGAGCCTACTGGGCTCTGTCATATCTACATTTGAAACTGTGTATGGAGTCAGCCTCCACCACATCATCTTCCTAATGTATTCCATTTACTAACTGCTCTGACACTGA